ACCCATACACTGGAGCAGTAATTCTGATGTCACAAATGGATGCAATGTGTTCACCTTCAATAAGGTGTGAAGTACTGTGCTGCTCAAATTGTCTAAATTAGCTCATTTAATCATTGCAGAAAAATTTGAGTTTCAGGGAGGTTAATTGCTTGTTTCGGTTAACATGCTGGTAAGTGGCACAGTGGGAACCTAAAACCAGGGCTGTCTGGCTCTAAAACCTCTTTCCCGAATTCTGGTCTACATCAGATGTCTTCTTCCTCTTTCAGGGTCGTTGTCACTCCCTTAGTCTAACTTACTGCAGATACTCAGGGTGTCATTTTCAGAATGGAGTCCTTACTAGTTGATTTCTATGGAAGGCTTTGCTTTCTTCCAGTGAAGTCTACGGTGTGATAACTATGGCTAAGTGACCACGCAGTTGTCCCTCTCTTCAGCTGAGCTTTACCTGCGTCTGTTATCTCTATGGTTTCATTCTCTTTGCTAGGTCAACTGAGGGGTAGGGGAAGTGTTGATGGCTCTTCAGGTGGAAAGACTCACTTCCTACTTGGAGTTCAGTGTGAAGCTTCATCTCCTGTTGCACAGAAACATGTGTCATACCTTGAATAATATGAATCAGTCCCGTGGGAGGTGGCATTTTGTGGACATTGTTTCATGGCCACTTTTCTGTAGGTTACCTTGCATGTTGTACAAAGATGAGCACATCGTTTCTCTTGCACTAATATCAGATCTGTTATTAGTGTGTCTATTATTAGTAAGTATTAAGGGCAGGAAATATGAGATTTCTCATTTCATGTTTCATTAATGTCATGTTCTTTAGTGACATTAAAATTTTCCCAGGGGAGTGTAATTCCTTGGATGTGGCTTTGAACAGCTCACCATCAAATATCTGATTTCAAGCACCCACAGAAATTTAGAGTTAATTGAAATATAGGCCTGGAAACTTGAGAGCTGTAGAAGCACAGGATTAGTGAGTTTAGAATTCATATGTTCTAACCTTCCCCATGTGGCACTTCAGGCCACACTGTAACATTTTTAATAAATACAGGCAACCTCAGAGACGTTACAGGTTCAGTTCCAGACCACCACAATAAAGCAAATATCAAAATAAAGTGAATATCACAGTAAAGTAAGTCACACAAATTTTTTGGTTTCCCGGTGCATATAAAAGTTACGTTTACACCGTATGGTAGTCTATTACATGTGCAGTAGCACTATATCTAAAAAGTCCAGTGTACATACCTTAATTGGAAAATACTTTATTGCTAAAAAATGTTAACTATCATCTGATTCTTCAGAGAATCACGAAAGATTACTCTGTAGCATGTGATGCTGTTTGATAGCATTTTACTCACAGCAGAATTACTTTCAAAATTGAAATCAATCCTCTCAAACCCTGCCACTGCTTTATCAGCTAAGCTTATGTTGATATAGCACATCTATGTCTGTATTCTAAATCCTTGCTGTCCTTTCAACAATGTTCACAGGATCTTCACCAGGCGTAGTTTCCACCTCAAGAAACCACTTTCTTTATCATCCACAAGAAGCAACTCCTCATCTGTTCAAGTTTTATCATGAGATCACAGCAATACAGTCCCGTCTTCAGACTCCCCTTCTAATTCTACTAATAGTTCTCTTGCCGTTATCATCACATCTGCAGTTCCTTCCTCCACTGGAGTCTTGAATTGCCCCCTCAAAGCCATCCATGAGAATTGGAGTGAACTTCTTTCAAACTCCCATGATGTTGATATTTTTACTTCCTTCCATGAATTATGAATGTTCTTAATGACATCTGGAATGGCGAATCCTTTCCAGAAAGTTTTTAGTTTACTTTGGCTAGTTCCATCACAGGAATCACTATCTGTTGCAGCAATAGCTTTATGAAATATATTTTCTTAAATAATCAGACTTGAAAGTCAAAATGACTCTTTGATTCATGGGCTGCAGAATGGGTGTTGTATAGCAGGCATGAAAACAACATTAATCTCCTTGTACATCTCTATCAGAGCTCATGGGTAAACAGGTGCATTGTCAGTGAGCAGTAATATTTTGAAAAGAATCTTTTTCCCTGAGCAGTAGATCTCAACAGTGGGCTTAAAATATTCAGCAAACCATGCTATAAACAGATATACTGCCGCTCAGGCTTTATTGTTGCATTTATAGAGCACAGGCAGAGTAGATTTAGCATAATTCTTAAGGGCCTTAGTATTTTCAGAACGGTAAATAACTTAATGTCACCAGCTGTGTTAGCCCCTAACAAGAGTCAGCCTGTCCTGTGAAGCTTTGAAGCCAGGCATTGACTTCTCCTCTCTAGCTGTGAAAGTCCTAGATGGCATCTTCTTCCAATAGAAGGCTGTTTTGTCCACATTGAAAATCTGTTGTTTAGTGTGGCCACCTTCATTAATGACCTTAGCTAGATCTTCTGGGTAACTTACTGCAGCTTCTGCATCAGCACTTGTTGCTTTACCTTGGACTTCTGTGTTATGGAGATGGCTTCTTTCCTTAAACCTCATGAGCCAACCTTTGTTAGCTTCCAACTTTTCTTCTGTAGCTTCTTCACCTCTCTCAGTTTTCACATAATCGAAGAGTGTTAGGGCTTTGTTTTGCATTTGGCTTTAACTTAAGGTAATGTAGGGGCTGGTTTGATCTTCTGTTCAGACCACAAAAAATTTCTCCATATCAGCAATAAGACTGTTTTGCTTTCTTATTTGTGTGTTCACTGGAGGAGCGCTTTTAATTTACTTCAAGAACTTTTCCTTTGGCTTTCCAACATGGCTAACTGTTTGGTGCAAGAGGCCTAGCTTTCAGCCTATCTTGGAGTTTGACATGCCTTCCTCACTAAGCTTAATCATTTCTAGTTTTTGATTTAAAGTGAGAGACGCATGACTCTTCCTTTCACTTGAACACTTAGAGGCCATTGTAGGATTTTTAATCGGTCTAATTTCAATATTGCTGTGTTTTAGGGAATAGGGATGTCCAAGGAGAGGGAGAGAGATGGGAGAATGACAGTGGAGCCATCAGAACACATACAACATTAATTGATTAAGTTCCCTGTTTAATATAGGTACAGTTTGTGGAGCCCCGAAACAGTTACCATAGCAACATCAAAGACCACTGATCACAGACCACCATAACAGATAAAATAATAATAAAAGCATTTGAAATATTGTGAGAATTACCAAACTGTGACATGGAGATATGAAGTGAGCACATGCTGTTGGAAAAATGGATCCAATAGACTTGTTCAATGCAGGGTTGCCCCAGACCTTCAGTTTGTAAAAAACACCATATCTATGAGGCACAGTGAAGCAAAGCACAGTAAAATGAGGTGTGCCTGTAGTTGGCCAACTTCTGACCACCTTCGGTGACTGGGAGTCCACTCCCTGTGTACCTGAGACAGCTCCAATCATTAGAAAGTTTTCCCTTTCTTATAAAGAAATTCTTAAGTAAATTATGATGCATTCTTATGATGGATTCTTAATGCAACCGTTAAAACGTTAATTAAGAATTTTGAATGGCATGAGAAGATAATTTAAAATGTAACTAGGTAAAAACAAAGACACAAAGTTGCATATATAATATCATTTTCAACTATACTTTAACAATGCATAAAAGCAAATCATATAAAAATATTGATAGTTATTGTCTCTGGGTGGTGGGATCATGGGGGATTATTTTTTGCTTAATCATACTTTTTTGTTCTTAATGAGTATTTTATAATGGGCATGTATTACCTTATAATTACAGGGACTGGGGAAAAATTCTCCCTTACATAGATGTGGAATTCCTTCTCTGATTTATACCTGTTGGTCCCAAATCTCAGCTCGGAGGACAACTCAGAACACACCTAATTGTTCTTTCTTATAATAGCCTTTCAAAAAGTTTGAAGACAGCTTGAATGTCTTCTTACATTTAAGCATAGTTGTTTATAGACAGGCAAGCAGAAATTATTTTCTTTTTTAAAATTTAGACTGTAAATAATATAAACCAGTCAAGATGTTTCAATGTCTGTGAGAATGGTACTATAGTGTTATGTAAATATCCACTAGTCTTTTCCTTTCCTCTTCCAAAATAAACTATCAGAAGGAAACAAATTTATCACCACAGATGTGGTGGTTTTATTGAGTTCAACATTTTATGAAAACTGGATTTAGTAAAGTCAACTTGACTATTGTGAAAGTGTACCTGAGGTCTTTGGTAAACTTATGCTCTTGATTTGAGGGGATGGCTGGACAAAGAAAGGGACTCTTGAGAAAGATGGGGCTGTTGGGCAAATTAGGGGGGTTGTGAAGAGTCTTGGTGGGCTTTAATGGAAGGGCAATGTTAGTAGACTATAGAAGAGGAGACAGGATTCTGTTCCCTGCCCTCTTGAACATTGCTGTTACCCTAGGTGGAATCACCACATTAAAGAGATTTTGACCTTTCAAATGCTCAAATGATAATATTACTATATACGTACGTGGTGTAGTCAGTATGACTGGAGTTTGGGACATGTGCAACCAACACTCTATGGAAGGTTGGAAAAAAGTTTGCAAAAATATATTTCTGTCCTTGACTTTCCTAAAAGGCCTCAAGGTTACTTATCAAGATTAACTCACTTTAATTTTTCATCAGCTATATGTGGTGGGAGAGTTACTCTGGGGAATGACTCTTTTGTAGATTTTAAAAGTACTTTTTGTCTTAACTCTTTTTCCAACTAACCTTTGAAACTCCTAAATTAAAGTTTTGAAGGTGAGTAAATGTTATTCATAAATGATTATCAGTTAACTTATTGAAAGAATTATATAATAATTAAAAATACCAATCAGAATATTTTATTATTTAATAAATGCAGATTTATTTCAGAGGCAAATACAGCTATCAATTACCTATTTTAAATTTAAGTTTCACAAAAAATCTGGAAGTTTGTGTCATAAACAGTTTTGTGGCTTAGGCTGAGCACTAGATTTTAACACTTTGTTGCATCTTTAAACGAGGCTTATCATTATTCTGTTTCTTTTATCCAGATGGTCTCTCAGCTTGAAGCCCAAATATCCGAGCTTGTGGAACAGTTGGAAAAGGAGTCTGCTTTTCACCAGAAAGCTCTCCAGAGGGCCCAGAAAGCAGAGAACAAGTTGGAGACTCTTCAGGGTCAGCTGACACACCTAGAGGGAGAGCTGGTTTCTAGAGATGTTTTGCGAGACGACTTGAATCTTGAGAAACAAAAAGTAATAATCTCGAGGGCATGTCTATGGGTGGAAGCATTTGTTGCAGTATAAAATTTTACCAGGAGATATTCTGAATTTTACAGTACTTAGACTCGTTAAATCCTAGGTCATGAGCAAATTTCAAGGAACAATGGGTCTCTTCCTATTGTTCAGAGCTTTGTTGATTCAAATTAATTCAATTAAATTCAAGCATTAATTTATTTACTTATTTTAATATGTAATTAGTTTTTTATTTTTTCAACAAGTATTTATTGAATGTGCATTATATATGAGGCCCTGAAGGTTTGAGGTGCTAAAATATAAATAATAATACATAGTTCCTGACCTTAAAAGGCTCTTAATTCAGTACAGGAGACAGATATTCAGATAATTTGCCAGACTATGAGGTTATAAGTATTATAATAGATGTGTTGAATTCATAAAGTGCTGTAGGAACTTCTGGATAAAGGGAAGATTTTATAGGGGAAGAGATAATTGAATTCATCTTTGAAGGATAAGTAGGATTATAGTGGCGAGAACAGACAAATACTGTAGGGGAAAGAGTGTGAACAAAGGCATGAAATCTTGCAAGTTCATAGTGTATTCAGAGAATGCAGAGTGGTTAACTGCATATGGCTGGACATGTGGCATAATTTGTGGGTCCGTGGCAAGAGAGAAGACTGGAATGGCTTGGATTATGAAGCTGGAGCATTCTTCACCCTGTAGAGTATGAAGTGCGATAAGTGATTGTGAATGTCACAGTTTCTCAGAAAGATCTGTGACGTCTCTGTGGAGCTGAGATTGCAGGATGGATAGGCCTGGAAGCGATGGTGCCAACAGCCCAGTGGGGGGGAGAATTGAGGGAGAAGAGAAGGGGTCCACACTGAGAGTTTGAGTGTGGAGAGAGCATCGGCGACCTCTGAGAGGGAGTTTTGGTAGAATGGTGGAGAATAGAAGCCAGTTTGCTTTGAGCTGAGAGATGATAGAAAGGGACAGGGGAGCGACTTATGAACAGACTGCGAAGTCTGGTGGCCAAAGAGAAAAGAGGCAGGAAGCAGTAGCTGTGAAAAACAGGATTAAAAAAAAGAGAGGTAAGTGCTTGTGGACTGAAAGAGTCCATGGGAGGCAAGGTGGAGGCAACGGGATCAGGGGCAGAATTTGGCATGAAAAATATGCTTAGGTTAAAATATCTATACTCAAGAAACTCATTTATCTTCATTCTTCTGTACTTGAAAAAATTGGGGAAGCACCATACCTACATTGAGGTTGGGTATGCAAGGATGTGCAAAAGGTGTCCATGGAAAATTGTGGTCTAATGGAGGAGACAGGCAGATCAGGGCACGATTAGCACAATTAGTGCTATAATGGGGATGAGTATGAAATTAACAGGAACTCAGAAAAAGGAGCAATGACTCCTTTCCTCTTCCTGAGTGAGAAAAGAGCCATCTTCACAGAAGAGGCGACACGTGAGAGGAGGCTTAAAGAATGAGTAGATGTTTGTACCCTCATAATATCCTGAAATAAATGAAAAAAAAAGAATGAGTAGGAATTTGTCAGGCAAAAGAGGTGGGAAGGAATTTGAGGTAGAAGAAACAACAGGAACAAAGAAGGAAGGGAGGTGTGGGAAGATGGCTCTGGAAATGTGTGAGGCGCAGGGAGACTGGAGCAGGAGGCCTGGTGGGACCAGAGGCGTGAGACGGCCTGGAGGCAGGTAGGAACAGCTGAGATAGGTGAGATTAACTACTCAGGTGTCATCGTATAGGTCATGGGGAGCCATAGAAGGTTTCTGAATAAAAGAAAGGTTTCTGTCAAGGCAGACCGGCTCAGAGGGTCTAGAGATGAAAGCAGGGAGCCCAGTTAGGGGATTCCTAGAATAGTCCAGATCAGAAGATAGTAGAGGTCTGGACCAAGGAGTGGTTCTGTGAATGAAGACAAGGGATAGATTTGAGAAATTTGGGAGGGCGAAGGAAGTTTTTTCTATTAGATATCTGAAAAGGTGTGTTGGTTGAAATTTTGATTTTGAAACGAAATACTGCATCTGAGGATAGTAGTGTACATCAGAAAGCAATCTGACTGCCTTCTGGATAGCTCCCCTCAGATGGTCCATGAGCACCTCAATATATTTTAAACTGCAATGACCTCTCCTCACATTCGCCCCTCTTGCGTCAGTAATGGTGGTCGTCTGCCTGCGTTTGCCCAAGCCATCTCAACGCTTCCCTCCTGTTAATTAATGCCTAAGCCCCATAAACCCTGTCTCCTTACTGCCTCTCCAGCACCTCCCCCTTCTCTGTACCCCGTAGCGGTGCTTTGCCCTGAGCATCGTGCTCATTCACATGGACTAGGGAAACGACCTTCCAACTGAGCCCTCTGCTCTGGTCTCCACCCCTCAAATTTATTCTCCATTTCAACAAAATGCATGCTGAATATTTATCTTTCTTCATCTTAAAACTGGTCAGTGGCTTTCTGCGGCCCTCAGGATCAGGTACAGATTCCTTCTTTCTCCATGGCCTCGAATTCTGTGAGCCGGCCAGTTGCCCTCTCCATCTTCCCTCTCCATCTTCCCTCTCCTCTGCGATCTCTCCTGCTACTAGGGGCAAACTCAGAGGCCTTCTGTGACCGGCAGGACCATGGTGGGGTCTGTGGTGAGGGATTGCTGATCCTAAGGACACCCACAGTCAAGTTTGTAACAACACTCATTTGCCTCCCTGGCTGCCTCCCACTTTGCCCTCACCTTCTTCACCGGCAATGACTCTTCAAGACTCAGCTCAAATATCACTTCCGCGGGCAGTCTTCCCTGAGAGACTTAGTGCTCCTTCCTCAGCCTCCCCAAACACTGTGCCTGCCTCTCTCATACCACTTTGTACCCTTCCTGGACTATTTTTACATTTTTCTTATTTAAATAGTCCAGGCTTTTGGAGGCAAGGAAAAAATTTTTTTCTGTGTTTCTCCAGGACCTAGAGAGTCAATAACTATTATTTGAGTTATAGAAGAAATACATCAAAGGCAAGAATTTCAGGTGGATTGATATCTCTTCCCTTCCTTCAGTATAAATGAATCATTCATTTTAATTGGGATTGTGCCCAAATGACTCTCAGTAATGAAAGCAAATTATGTAAGCTAATTCTGTCCCTGGTGAATTTTTCTTAGAGAACTGCGTGTGAAACGCACGTCCTAGTAAGTATAGTACCATGAAAAATTGAGAAGCAGATTTGTACAGAGTTCAGGAAACTGGCAGGGTGGTTCATAAATTCAACACCGGATATTGGGGTCAGAGTCTAGGCTCCATGCTGGGTTTAAAGAGAACTACCTGTAAGCTTGGGAGAAAGTGAAGGAGCTGTGAGATTACCCATTAACTTTTACCTTTGTGTCTCATTTTCAATTTTTGTTCTTGGGTTTAGTATCTTGCATTTCTGGATCGGCTTTCAGAGAAAATGAAATTGGACCAGATGGCTGCTGAACTTGGTTTTGACATGCGTCTGGATGTGGTTTTAGCTCGCACAGAGCAGCTGGTCCGTCTCGAGAGCAATGCAGTCATTGAAAGCAAGACCATTGCCTACAATTTGCAGAGAAAGGTAGGGGCTATTAAAACTTGCTAGTGTTGAGAGAGGAATTTCTGAAAAACCCAAATATTAAAAAATAACTTACCCCCACCATATTTACCAGAGAGGCTAGGAAATATATTATAAAAATAAGTATTTAGGATTTGAGGCTCAATTTCAAGTCTGAAGAATGGGTAAGTGTATCTATCACCTGAGGTTATGTTTCACTGTGAGTATCAGAGAGCCCGAATAACAGTGGCTTAAGCAAGCAATGTATTTTTTTTCTCTTCTTACACAAATTCTTGGAGATAGGCAGCTTAGGGCTGGTGTGGCAGCTCTGTTCTGTAAGGTCTTCAAGGAACCAGGTTCTTTTCAGCTCATTAATTTCCCATCCCTAGGGTGGTCCTTATCTTCATGTTCAAAATAGGACCATTATATCAGTGTTCTAGGCAAAAGAGAGGAAAAGGATGAGGAAGAGGGATACAAAAGAATATGCAAGAGGCATCTTTGGAAAAAGGCTCCCAGAATTTGCTGTAAGAACTATATATCCCATGGCCAGAATATGTTCTGATGGTCAAACCTAGCTGCAAGGGAGGCTTGTATATGTAGCCTTTTTTCTGGGTGGCCATTTGCCTGGCTAAAAACCCCCACAGTCTCCATTACTTTGGAAGAAGAGGAGAACTGGGGAAACATCTAGCAGTTTCTGCCTTTATAAGCTACATTGCACTGGAAAGTAGAGAGTGAAAGGCTTACTTTTCATTCACTCAAAGGAAGAGTTAGAAAGAGTTTAGACAAAATCAATGAAGGGTTAGATGAAAGGGATAAAATGTAATTATTACTCATCTAATCATGGTATTGGGGAAAGAAATAGGAAAACACAGATGTTTTCTTATAATAATTCTTAGAAAATTCTATGGTAGAATTCTAGTGTAGAGGCTGTGTAATAAGTCACATCTGGGTTCCCAGTTAGGCTCCACTCAGCTGTGTGACCTTGGACAAATTACATAACTCTCTGTCTCTGTTTCCTCATATTGAAGATGGGGATGATATCTAACCCAAGGGATTGTTAGTTTTCAATAAATAACATTTTTGAAATCTTGGCTCGTAGAAGATGCTTTATTCACATTTGGCCTCTTCTCCATTGACCGCATCTTGAGAAATATTTTATAAAAGATAGCAGATAAGCCCTATTACCATCAGACACATTAAACTGAGCTACCGTTCTTTCTGAAGTTCTCAATAATTGATCCATTTTCTCCATATCCAATCCCATTCTTTCTTAAGAATTATATAATTATTAAAATTACCAGTGTCCAGAACTTACCGGTGTACATTCACAATAAAGAGGAATTTGCTGTGAAGAAGCTCATGAAAGGGATTTTGGTTAGGGGAATATTAAAAGTGATCTGGGCATGGACACAGCTGCCAGTGTGAGGCAGGATACTTAATGCAGCGTTTCGGTAAGCGCTTCTAACACGTTACAAACACGGAGTAGGTAACTAGGGAGAATGCGACGATCTTCGGCTGGAACATTCAGTAATTCTACATGATTCTAATATTTGTAACAGATGACAGAGGTTCTGTACTTAACATTCTGCTCACTAATTATGATGTGTGGAGCCCAGAAAGATTTTTTTTTTTCCCTCTTACAGTCTGTAGTCGTTTTCTAGAAATCACTCTAATTTCCTTCATCAAATTTGATTGCCAGTGAGAAATGATGTTTGAGGATCTGTTTCCTGCTTGGTTTGTGGTTCTTATAGGCCAGACATGCAAGAAAGACACCAATGAACTTTCTTGAAGTCCCTTTTATTTCCAAGATTTTAAATGTGTAAGAGAAGTTTTTTAAAAAATCTCTTTGGTACATCTTACTTTAAAAATACATCAACTTTCATGTCGGGGGCAACTCATCCAGTTCTAAGGGATTAACATTAGCAAGTCTACATTTATAATATGAATTTGTGTCCTATCTTGTTTCAGAAAACACCGGTTCATCTAATTGTGGCCATTGGATATTGTCTTATTATATTCTGCTCTTGATAAGCCCATTTTAGTAGTCTTAAAAGTAATTTCACATTTTTATTATTATGCACATAGCATTGGAGAGAACCACATGTTGAGAGCCGACTCCTCTGCCGTTTTCTGTGACGCTTTTGTCTCATATTTTGCAGCTACACAATTAATTCTTAGAAAAGGTATGAATAAAAAAATGCAACAAGAAAAAGAAATCCAATGACTTTTTTTGGTGGTTTACAAATGAGTCTTATTGAAGCGTAGATAAAGATCAACATTATCTGGGTAATTTACTTATATTTACTGACTGTTCAATTATTATTATTATTATTTTTAAAAATCCCTGTTTGTATCAAACCAGCTAAAGACTCAGAAGGAAAGACTGGAGAGCAAAGAACTGCACATGAACCTCCTCCGAAAGAAAATAGTCCAGCTGGAGGAGGAGAAGCAGGTGCGCACAGCCTTGGCCGTGGAGAGGGATGAGGCACATCTCACCACCAGGAAGTTACAGAAGAAGGTGGAGAGGCTGCAGCGGGAGCTGAGCCAATGTCAAGAATCAAACACTGAGCTCAAAGCCAAGCTGGCTGACACCAGTGAGCTTAAGGCAAGGGCTTGGCTTCCTTTCCTTATTGCTTTTTGCTAGTTACCATCAAAGTTTATGCGAAAGAATGGCAGCCTTCTAATGGGCACACCAGAAAAAGAAAGATGAAAACTTCCTCCGATTTTCTAGAGTTGTGGGGAAAATGCAAAAATCACACAAATCAGAATACATATCCATTTCGTCTCTCTTCAATATTTGAAGGGAAGCTGTTGTTGCTGGGTAAAATGTCAGTCAAAAAGGAGTGATGTTTAAGTACAGGGAATAAAAACATTTCTCCAAAGTGCAGAGGACCATGCTAAGAGGGATGGTGCAGAGATTTATCACATAGGAATTTGCTGAGGAGGAAATGAGAACATGGGCACAAGTGGGTACTGAGAAGAGGCAGGCAGGCGACAGGAGTGACGTGTGCTCTGGAGGATATGTCATTCCCAAGTTCAGCGAAGAGGTCAACAGATTGGGAAGTTGTGGTTCCTGTATGCGAGGTGTTCAACTTCTAATGAGTACAGAGAAAAAAGAAAACTTAAGCAGAATTTAATAAAGACATTTAAATGTCTTACATGTGTGCCACCGGCGATAACATGTAACTTCACATGCACATACCATCCCCAGCCGGTGCGCATATCGTGAACACAGCGGACAATAACTTCCTGGCTCTTTGCAGATGAAGGCTGTGAAATTGACTTTTGGACTGTTTCTGAGACTGGAAACGACCAGTAGGGGAAAAGAATCTGGAATGAAGCTGGCCCTTGAACATGTGTAGTGGGGACAATATTTTAGAAAATATTTCCCACTGTATTTTCCCTTCTGAGTAATTAGCTTTTTCCCTGCTGAAGCCCTTTTTTGCCATCAGGACTAGACTACCAAGTTGAGGCGAATTTCCCTAGAGAAGGGGAGGGCAGGCACAGCCCAGAGGAGGGGACATGTTTGAATACAAGGAAAGGAGGATTCCAGGGACAGCACCTGATAGGGTGGTAGGGGTGGGAGAAAACCTGAGAGGTAAGCATTCTCAATATCCCCCTTGTGCCTTGAGACTGACTTTTGGGGGGTATGTGGTTGGATAGGGTAGAAGCCCTGAAGCCAGCATCAGCTGCCCACCCTGGCTAGAAGGGCACAGGAGGTGCTGAGGCAGGGCCTAGATTGCACCCTGATTCCCCAGAGCCTGGGGTTCCATTAGGACAAGCGGGGGATCTGAAGGTATGTGCTGGAGAGCTCATTATGGGAGCAGATAGGGGTATTCCCTTCAAGTGAGGGACACAGTGATCTTCCATCAGAAGCTCTGGGGCAGTCACCTAAGCTATGGTCTGATAGCAGTTACAGCCAAGCCTTGAGTTAGCCAAGATCAGTGACGGGGCCTTGACTCCGGTGAGTGAACCCCCACAAATCTCACCATTCAGAGAGTAGATATAGGAGAGATTCAGGGGAAGCATGAGGGCCAGAATCACCACTCCTGACACTACAAGGATTTTTCTCCACCCAGACACAGTCTCAGGAAGAAGGAGGGGAGAATAATCCCCCAAAGATTGAGCAAGGCATGAATTTTAAACCTGAGGAAATATGGTTGGTTACAAACACCATCTGCTCTAACAGTTTGGGGTGATGGTGATGGAGAGCTGGTTTCTTATTTCCAAAGGACCATGAAGCTTATCCTAGTGTTAATATGACTGGGACTTTGCCTCAGCTGCTCCTGACTGTAGGGTATGAAGCTGTTCATCTCTAGGCTGGAGGGTCTCTTCCCTTCTGACATCCTTCCTTATGGGGCCACAGGAGCACTACTTTTTTAGAAGAATAAGGGGCCCCTAAATACTTCCAAAGAATCCAAAGAGGAAAAGTTAAAGAATTGGAGACTAGTGGCAAGACAGCTGATAGTAAGGGTATGTCATGGAACAAAAAAGGGAAAGGACCTTCACCAGCATAGTGTAACATAGACCTTCAAAAATGAAACAACTGTTGGGCTCCAGAGAACAATAAGGAAAATCCACAGACCTGATCTAATACTTTTGAAGAATCCCTCTTACCCATAGGGCGGTAATTGTATGTAGACAGGATATGGCTAATTTAGAAATCAAAACAAGGATAAAAATAGAATTTAAAAATGTGACATTAATTCAGTATGATTACGTTATTTTCATAAAATAACCATTAATAAGAATATATGGTACCCATATATTCTTTTGAGTGCAGGTTCTTTTGAGTTTGGTATTCCTGTAGTTTATTTTCTCTAAGGACAGAGCAATTATTGTACCCTTTGCTTTATTTTACTACTGTAGATACTTTATTTGTACATATACCATGGCATAGTTAGGCTTTCACTTTGCATGAACATGTTATTTATGTATTAACTCTACCCTTGCTCTTTTCTTATTAACCTAGGATAATTAAAGTAGTAGTACTTGCTGGCACAAACATAGCCTTATAAACAAATGCAGATGCAGGCACTGAAATTATGTGGCAGGACTCCAGAGGATGTAGAAAATACTTGTATAACTCATAAAATGCCAGATGCTTCATGGCATGCATCAGTTATGAGTAGTTTTATCTAAATATAATGAAACACCCCATAATATCAGTGGCATAGATAGGAGAGACATTTATCCCCTTCTCACCGGAAAGAAGCATGAAAGTAGACATGCCATGCTTAGAGGACTGCTCCATGGTCATCAGCGACCCTGGCTTCTGTCTTTCTGCTTCAGTATTCTAGCAGTAGCTTTCATCCTCAAGGCCACCTCTTAGACCAAGCTAGCTGCTGGGGTACCAGCCTCATTCTAGTCACCAGGCAGGAGGAAGGGTAGGGGGACATCTGTGTACTGATATCCAGGAACAATACAGCACTTCCTACATCTCCATTTGATGGAACTTACCTCATTTAGATGGAGCAAGTCTGAGATGGGGGTCCTTATTCTGTGCAGTAAGAAAGAAAGGAAGAATAGCTATTTGGTGAAGAACCATCAGCTATCAGCAGATAACCAAAAACTAGTGGAATGTCCATTGTCTTCATTGCAGTCTCTCAAGAAAACACCAAAAGGAGTTAATATTCTTCAGTGACTAGCAAAGATCTTTCCCACTTCCTCTTGGTATTTCCCACTCAGGACAGCCACTCCCACATTCCCTCCCCATTCCAGAACTTTCTCCAACCCTTTCTTTATCTTTTTTCCGTAAAGTGCCATCTCTGATTCAGCTCTGATTATACAGATCCATTGGCTCTCTGGGATTGCTTTGAATATTCCCCACTTTGGCATGAGCAGCAAGCGGAGTCTAAGCAGGAAGAATGCTCCAGGGGTGTGGGTGGTGGAGGAGTGGAAGTGTGCTGAGACCGCAAAGTTGTATGTTTTTTCTGATTTCTGCTACATTCCTACTTAAATATTTTCCTCTCATTTGTTTTTAGTTGAAAAGTAATGATTGTATATATTCGTGGGATACAGAGCGATATTAAATATTTTGATACATTTATACACTTGGGTAAAATGATCAAATCATGATAATTACCATATCCATCACCTCAAACATTTGTCATTTCTTTGTATTGGGAACATTCAAAATCCTCTCTTCTAACTATTTGAAATATACAATAAATTGTTGTTCGTTATACTCACCCTACAGTGCTATAGAACACTAGAACTTATTCCTCCTGTCTAACTGTAATTTTGTAGTTGTTAACGATCTTTTCCCTATCCTCCCCTCCGCTACCCTTCCCATCCTCTAATAATCACAATTCCACTCTCTACTTCTATGCACTCAACTTTTTTAGCTCCCACATATGAGTGAAAATATGTAATATTTATTTTTTGTATATAAATATATACATATATAAATATGTAATATTTATTGTACCTGACTTATTTCACTAAACACAATGACCACCAGTTCCATACCTATTGGAAAGGATGAAAGGATTTCATCTTTTTTATGATTGAATATACTTTATTGTGTATATATACCACATTTTTTTTATACATTCATCAATTGGTGGGCACTTAGGTTGATTTCATATTTTAGATCTTGTGAATGGTGCTGTAATAAACATGAGAGTGCAGATATCTCTTCACTATATTGATTTCCTTCCTTTTGGCTATATCCCCAGTAGTGGAATTGCTGGGTCATATGGTAGTTCTATTTTTAGTTTTTTGAGGAACCCCCATACTGTTCTCCATAGTGGCTGTACTAATTTGCATTCTCTCCAACAGTGTAGGAGGGTTCCCCTTTCTGTATACCCTTGCTAGCATCTGTTTTTCTCTGTCTTTTTGATAAAAGTCATTCTAACTGGAGTGAGATGATATCCCATTGTGGTTTTGATTTGCATTTCTCTGATGATTAGTGATGTTGAGCATTTTTTTCATATACTTATTGGCCATTGTATGGCTTCTTTTGAGAAATGTCTATTCAGATCTTTTGCCCATTTTTTAATCAGATTATTTGTTTTGATATTGAGTTGTTTGAGCTCCTTATATATTTTGGTTATTAATCCCTTGTCAGATGGATAATTTGCAAATATTTTCTCCCATTCTGTGGATTGTCTCTTCTCTTTGTTGATTGTTTCTTTTGCTGTGCAGAAGCTTTTGAGCTTAATGTAATCCCATTGGTCTATTTTTCCTTTTGTTGCTTGTGCTTTTGAGGTCTTACGCAAAAAAATCTTTGCCCAGATCAATGTCCTGGAGCATTTCTCCAAAGTTTTCTTTTAGTTGTTTCATAGTTTCAGGACTTAGATTTAAATCTTTAATCCATTTTTATCTGATTTTTTGATTTGGTGAGAGATAGGAGTTTAGCTTCATTCTTCTGTGTAAAGTTACTCAGTTTTCCCCATCCCATTTATTAAAGTTATCATTTATTTTAAGTTCTTATTGTCTTTGTCAAAAATGAATTGGCTGTAATAGTGTGCATTTATTTATGGGTTTGGTATTTCGTTCCATTGGTTGATATGTCTGTTTTTATGTTTTTTTGGTTACTATGGCTTTGTAGTATATTTTGGAGTCAGATTGTGTGATGCCTCCAGTTTTGTTCTTTTTATT